TAATTTAAATATGACTTCCCTACAACTTTAATCAGATTCCTCTAAACACATTTCTAGCTTCACTTCAGCTTTACTAAAATTTGCTACTATTTTAACCTCATTCAGATTGGTTCATCTTGGGAAGGATGCTCAACTGGATTTTGCCTTTGACTAGAACATTCTAACATTAAAAAAGGCACAAATAATTCATTGTACTTTTATAAATAATCAATTATAATTCCCTTTTCATCTTCAGATCACATAAATCTCAATTAAATGGGGATTTTAAACAGTTAGTGGGGAATGAATACATATGTTTGTTTGTTGCTATAAAAGCTGTTACTATCACCAAGCAGGAATCCATTACCGTCGTTTCACACGCTGGTGTCAAACCGGCATTTAAGGCACCTCATATTTTGGCACCTCTACATCGCAGCTTAATGGTGACTGACACTAATTCCAAGCGTGACGTGAAACCAATGCCAGTGAAAGGAAAATGGGCCTAAATTCAAACTGATAGTCTTTCATAAAGTGGCAATTTCCAAACAGACTTAAAGAAACACGGCTGACATTTGATGAGGCGGGCTGTACCGTTCCCCCCCGAGGGCGTCCAAATGCCATCACACTAACAGCAACCAACAGCAATCTACAGACTGACGGATTTTCCCATTAAACCGAGCTGACAAGAAAAGCAGCATCAGAACCATAAGTAAACTGAAACTATGGAACGAGTTAATAAGCCCGCCGGTAATCCACTTTTCTTTTGCAGTCTTTACAAACGCCATTCATCAACGTCACGTAGAGTTTATCTCATCTTGGAGGGGCCTCGCTTTGGACCATAAATCCAACTCCAATCATTTCCAGCACTGAAATATGATGTAATTAAACAGAATCTGGAGGTGCCTGGGGGGGGGGATCTTTATCCAGCCAAAAATACACCTTCCATTTCCTAACCGCTGCTACGAGTGAGAATGATTTAATGTAGAACATCTGAAAGAGATCGATGCTTTCAGCCTCCGACAGGCAGGATGCCTTCGCAGATGGAGGAAAAACCGGGCGTCATACGCGAGCATCCCGGGAGCCGCCTTCCTCTCACAGGATGTCAATAAGATTTAGCTTCCAACACATCAGCCGTAAACAGAGCTTTTATAGATATAAGGACTGCCATCACAGGAGGAAGTGTTTAACAGTGATTCGCCGCTCCGGTTCCTTTTAAAAAAGGCGGCTGGAAACAGTTGATTCTGGAAGAGACGCCTTAGAAAAATCCTAATCTGAAAAAAAGAAGCATGAGCTGATGAATTGATCTGCAACAGTTTATTTTCCAAATGATCCGGCAGCTGTGAGAGCGGCGATGGTAAACAGGAGATGCCTCGTTCAGAAACCCTTCTCTGAGAACATTTGTAGAGAGTCGGTTAAAAGAAATAAAAATCCAATGATCACTTCATTTCCAGACGGTACAATTATATTCGACTGTTATGAAGTTTAGGAGGTAAGTTAGGAGCTTTTTCACACAAAAGGATTAAATTTAGTCCTTTCTTTAATGAAGAGCTGAAGCTCAGTCGATTGGACAACAATTACATGTTGATTTAGGTTTGAGCTTTGACTAGGCCACGGATCTGCAACCTGGGGCTGCAGGGCGACGCTACTCTTTAGGCTTTAATAGCTTTGAGCAAAACAGTAAAGAACCGAACAATTCTTTAGACAGACGTGTTTACATTACTTTTGTTCATTTTCTATGATATAAATTTCAAAAAAACTTTTATTTTAGAGGGTATTCAACATTTTCCAGGCCTAGGACCCCCAAACTAATGGCAAGATGGAGCAGGGACCCCCTACTTCTAATAATTGTATTAAATAGTGTTATATCAAACTGGTCCTATAGTCATTCTGTTACATATGGTGTAATGTAACGAAAGTAAATTCGCCCTGGGAACACAGTCATGTTTTTGGACTGTGGGAGGAAGCCGGAGTACCCGGAGAGAACCCATGCATGCTCAGGGAGAACATGCAAACTCCATGCAGAAAGACCCCAGGCCGGAAATCGAACCTAGAACCTTCTTGATGGCATGATGGAGGCAAGGTGTTGTGAATGAAACGGTGCCCATCTTGAAAGAGCTCCTGTGTGTCACTGAATGTGTGCATTGATGACTGAAAGACATCTTCTGCCTCCATTTATCTGTTTACTGCAGTTTGTTAAATTCATGTTAATGTGTATTTAAAGACAGTTTAATTAGTGGGGAAAAAATGCAGGGGGAATATATAAAAAAAAAGTCTAATCAACCAAAACGTTTGCGACCCCCATGCAGGACTTTCGTGGATCCCCTAGGGGTAGCAGACCCCCTGTTGCAGACCTCTGTGTTAGAGGATAAAATAAGCTTTGTTGAAATGCTGGAAGTTCCTGCAGGCTTTTTATCTCATATTCACAGGATAAAAACATAATTTAAGGGTAAAATAGGCTGAATTAAATGCATGTTAAATACCTTAATTTTCTATGTGTAAACCTTTTGAAAACCATGCATCATCTGCAGAAAGTGCAGGTTTCTAATGTTAGATTGTATATTTTTTCATCTCCTCTGAATTCCTGCTTGGATCAGAGTGTTTTTCCACAAATCATAAGTCAAATCATAGCTTTTTGTTGGGTCTCTAATTTAAAATCAGAGTAAAAATAAATTATAATTCTACAGTTGCAGAAATTAGAACATTTTCTTAACATATGCTTGTGAATCTTCAGACTTTTTTGCAGCTTGAAAGCCAACAGTTGTTTTAAAGAAGAGACCAAGACTGGAGAAAATGTGGAGAGGCATTGCTGTAACCACATCAAGCAACCTTTTAATTCCAAATAAGAAGAGGATTCTGTTAGAATAAATCTGTTTTCCTGTTCACAGCATGTTTTATGATGACCCCTTTGACTGCTTCGGCACAAAAGGTCACATCCAGCTCTTCCCATTTCCACCTGATAAATCACTTCTACTGCTATGAGGCGTCAAAGTGCACAGCACTATAAAAAAAAAAGGGCAGCTTGCTCTCATCTGCTTATGTGGATTTATTCCCTCATCTTCCTCTGCCACATAAATGCCAATAAGCTCAGCATCTGCCCTGCTCTTGTTTTAATGATGGCATGCACTAAAAATCACAGATGATCCCAGGCTTAACTATATGTTGCTTCAACAGTCAGTTATTAGAAATGAATAAAACGCACACAAAAAAGTAAACATATAAGATTCATTTGATTCTAATCAGTAGAGAGAAGGTCAAACAGCGGGTTTTTAAACAAAGCTGGGTTCTTTAACTCCGTTTCACTCTTATAGACAGCAGCTGGGAGCCTGAGGTGACCGGTTAGATTGCCAGGAAACACAGACGCCCCCCCACCCACACACACACACACACACACACACACACACACACACACACACACACACACTGAGCGCACCTCTTTTCCAAACACCTACCCGCGCGTGGCCAGCTTCCTCCGGTTCAATAAGTTCTATCTCTCCGAGCTCCGCTCCGCTTCTGTCATCTCTCCGCGCGGGTCTCGTGCAGCCTTTGCGGCGGACGGATAAAGGTGGAGGGAGGGGAGGGAGGGGCGTTCGACCAATCAGCGGAGATCTAACGGGGAGGGTGAAAGGCAGCCAATAGGGAGCGCGGTGGAGAGAGAGCGCGAGCGCAGCGGCGAGGGTTTTTTTTTTTTTTGGTTCCCCGGTGAGATGAGACTTTGAAGCAACAGCGCGAGCGCTCAGCGTCTGATGGCATCTGATACAAACTACACCCACGGCCCGTTTAAACAGCAGGTTTCAGCGCAACGCCTGACTGCTATTCCCTACGGAAGAGGATTAGGGCCACTGAAAAAAATAAAAACAAGTTAACTGATTTTTAAATTCTATTTCAGTTTAATATGGGAAAAAGTCTGAATTCTGAGATTAAAGTCAGAATTCTCAGAAAAAAATTTATAATGCTGAGATGAAAGTCAGAATTCTGAGAAAAAAGTCAGAATTCTAAGAAAAAAATTCAGAATGCTGAGATTAAAGTCAGAATTCTGAGATTAAAGTCAGAATTCTGAGGAAAAAAAAGTCAGAATTCTGAGATTAAAGTCAGAAGTGTGAGAAAAAAATTCATAATGCTGAGATGAAAGTCAGAATTCTGAGATGAAAGTCAGAATTCTGAGATTAAAGTCAGAATTCTGAGATTAAAGTCAGAATTCTGAAAAAAAAAGTCAGAATTCTGAGATTAAAGTCAGAATT